GGAAAGGCAGAGGAGGGGGAAAAGAGGGAGAGGGGGAGAAGATGGGGAGAGAGAGAAAGGGAGAGGGACAAAGAAAGAAGAAAGGGGAGAGGGGGAGGGTGGGAGAGGGGGTGGGAGAGGGGAAGGCAGAGGGTGGGGGAGGAGGGAGAGAGAGAGAGGGAAAGGCAGAGGATGGGGAAAAGAGGGAGTGGGGGAGAAGATGGGGAGAGAGAGAAAGGGAGAGGGACAGAGAAAGAAGGAGAGAGGATGGGGAGGGAGGGAGGAGAGAGAAGGAATGGGAGAAACAGGGAGAGGGAGAGAGAAAAGGGAGAGGATGTGGGGAGAGGGATAGAGAAAGAAGAGAGAGGAAGAGGGGGTGGGAGAGGGAGGGAGAGGGGTAGGGGTAGGCAGAGGGAGGGGGAGAAAGAGGGAGAAAAGGAGAGGGAGAGAGAAAGAGGGAGAGAATTAGCAGACCATCACTCCCTATGGACATTTCTTCGAAGGGATCTTCACATGGGTATTATGTTGACAAACATTTTAAACCTGTGTTGGCTATCAGCTAGTTCAGAAAAGAAGCATAACCACAAACACTGGGGACCCAGTCTGGTCTAGTGGTGAAGGCACCCAGGCTAGAAACCAAGAGATGGTGAGTTCTAGTCCCACTTTAGGCATGAAAGCTGGCTGGGTGACTTTAGGCCAAAACACCGGGAGACAGTGAGTTTTACTACCGCCTTAGGCAGGAGAGCCATCTAAGTGACTTTAGGCATTTTCCTTCCGCCCAGGTAGCCCACCTCACAGGCTTGTTGTTGTGGGGGAAAAGAGGAGGAGGAAGGAGTATTAGATATGCTCACCGCCTTGAGTTATTTGTAAAAAATAAAAGGCGGGATGCAAATAAATAAATACAATTTTAAAATAACCATCTTAACAAACCTATCCCAAGTCCAAGAAATTGGCTCTGATTCTAATCCAGGCCAACTTTTTTCTAAAATTTAAGACTTCATTGCTAACGGCGAAAATTTCAATTCTCCATGTTTTACCGTGTTTCCCCCAAAATAAGACAGGGTCTTATTTTCTTTTGACCCCCAAAATAAGCACCTGCCCTTATTTTTGGGGAGGTCTTATTATTTTTGAGGTGCAAGAGGCGGAGAGCGGGGTCACCTCATGGCTGCTGCTGTATTGCAATATTTTCGGGGAGGGCTTATTTTAGCACATGGGCTCAACAGCCCGATTGGGCTTATTATCCGGGGAAGTTTTATTTTAGGGTATTTCTTCTCTCGAACGGTGGCACCCGAAATGCAAAAATAATTTTAAAAAAAGGGACCAGACTTACTTTTATCGCTTCCACCAGAGGCTCGTAGAGATCGGGGAATCCGGAGAAACAGAAGAACATGCAGTAGATGAGTTCGGCCAGCTGATTCAAACAGTGTGACGCCGAATTGGAGTTTTCCTTCTGGAGGGCAGCGATCACTCTGGGAATATGAGGCAGGAGCTGTTAAAGAGAGGGAATAAAGCATCGGGGAGGCCATTGAAGGATGGAATTTGCATCCGAGGAAAAACGTGAGCCTGAAAAAAACAAATATAGGATCCGAGGCTGTTTAATGCAATAAATATCGTTTATCTGATCTGGGTCGGTCAACGGGACCAGAGATTTTGTCTTCCCAATTCCTGGACTCTCGTGCTGGAGCCAGTAGTAGGATTCAAATATTTTTTTTTTTTTAAACAGAACTTTTTTATTTTTCTTTAAAAAAAAAAAAATCACAAATATGTCATCATTTGTCAATCATTAAGAC